ATAACTCCTATTAACATTAATGGGAGGCACATATGTGCATCTAAAGGGTAAATGCTCTTCAGTCTGCATGACAGAATCTTAATGAAGTAGTTGGAAAAACCAAATCACTGCAAATGTAGTCACACTTTCCCCTCCCTTTGCAGGAAGCCCTACCACCACCACCTTTGCTTCCCCCACCCACAGCGAGTACATTTCATCAGCCAAAGTATGGATAAAGTACGTGCTGGATTTCCTCTTGGTTAGATAACATCTTTTTCTGTTCAGGATATCTCCCAAATGGCTCCATCTCCAAGCATTTCTCAGAATATTTATTCTATGCTCCCCTGAAATTGGCCACACATTGCTGTCCAAATGTTATTTCTCACCACCCCCAACTTCATCAAAGGGTGTGGCCCCTCCCACAGTAAATGTCAAACACCATATTCAAATTCCAAGGAAAGGGGGGGGGGGTGGACCTCAACCTTAAAAGCTCTATCACCTTTCTTTAAAAATGGACTATTCCATTTTCATAGACAGATTAAGATTACAAAATTGCCTCATAAAACTGAGCTCTGAACTATTATTTCCAGAGTGAACTACTAGTAAATCTGACCCAACAAGGGCAACTCACATAGGACACTATTAACAGGAACTAGCAAAATAAAAACCCAATAAATTAAGGCCAGTCCTCCACTGCTTAATGTCTGTTGCTGTTGAAAGAGATGGTTTCATAGCAAACCATCTCTTGCCAGAAGTACAAAATGAAAGAGCCAAATTTTTTAATTCCCTTAAAAAAAAAAAAAATCAAGCATATTTGTAGCCCAGAAGAGAGCAGAGGACACAGCATTGGCAAGAACCTCAATTCCTGACCAAACCCTCTTCCACACAATGCCTCCTGAAAGAAAGGAACCCAGGGCTCGAGCCAGCTTGACGCTGGCGGACAGACAGGGCTGGCCTCGCAGGATGTCAGAGCGCCAGGCGGCTGTGAGAGATACTGGGTTTTCACACACTCTCAGCCTGACTGTTTTGCTCTTCAGGTAATTAAACAAGGAAGCAGGGCTGCTGGGTACGAGGCTGACCCTGAAGCTACGGCTCCATGGTTCTGCATATCAACTTCCGCAAGAGCTGCCCCGAGCATCAACAGAACATTCTCCTCTCACTCTCTCTCGTTTCCTTCTCCACCTCTTCCTAAAGCTGACCCAGAAACAAATCCTGCCTACAAAAACATCCACAGAAAGGTCTGAATTTATTTGTAATAAAAATCCCTGTGCTATTCCCGGTCACTACCTTCCAAATTTTAAAAACCAAAAAAAAAACTACACGAATGGCAGGAACTTTGTAAAAAATCATATGTAACTCTATGTAAAATACTGCTGTGTTAGTCAAAATGGGTTAGTCAAAGAAAATAATACCCAAATAATTATAATTTTTTAATGTGTGTTTGATGAAAGGTATAAACTTTCAAATTCAAAAAAGCTCCCCCCAAAAATAAATGATTTTGATTGCCCAGTTCACAAATTAAACATCTGTCGTGTTGTGTAATTAATATTGTTATTGTTTTTATGATGGTTATTAACATAAGCAAACACCACCTATGATCTGGTTTATTATGTCTCATCAAAAATCTTATTTAAACAAAACTCTAAAATATTTCTTGTGTACAACGTCACCATTAAGGTTCAGAAATATCAAAAACATCCCTTAAAAGAAAGTGGTACATTTATATATATATATACATATTAAACAATGATTAGAATCATATATGTAATATATTTTTCTTTCATCTCAAAATCCATAGAGTAAAAATACTGGCTGAAAGAGACAGATACCAAAAGAGAGAAGAATACAAAAGCATGCCTGCTTGTCTGTGTTCAACACAAAGAACATTAAATGAAAACAACTGGCATGCTGCCAAATTCCTATAGAGGCAAAGAGATTCAAATAAATTGATTTCACGCATCACACTGACCTGGGATCAGTGTGCAATGCTACAATAAGCTCAGAGCTCCATGTGGGGTAAAGCCCATTAATGCTATCAGACCCCTCAAACATGACCAAGAAAAACTAAAAATAAACGCAGATGCTCTCTAAAAACAGCAATTTTACTTAGGAAAAGAGGAAAGTTAATAATAAACATACCAATATCTGAAGGTGCATAGACAGCATCAACTATAGTAACATTTTAAAAGTTACCTTTTACAAAATACAAATGTGGCATGTGAAACCGATATAACATGTAAAAATTGATACTACCTAAATACCCCATCCCATGATATGCACAAACATAAATACACACCACTTTGCAACAAAAATTTCCTGTTATTCTTTCCTCTCATGCTATATCCTCTTACATCTTTGAGAAAGTCAGTGGATTTTTTTTTTTTTAATATGCCAAATATTGGGTCCTTCTTAGAATTTTTCTTAATGGCTTATAAAAGCAAGCTCCTCAGGCCAGAGACCACGCCTAGCTGTCCCAAATCTGTCCAGTGCTCACAATGGCTTGCATTACAGGAAAACTGCTCCAATGGCATTCTAGAGGACCAAGCCCTGTCAAGCACAGTGAGTATTTGGGGTACCTTTAAAACTCCAGGGTGTTGGGGGGGTTGGGGGGGGCATAGCGTTCTGCCTTTACCAGCTTCCACCCAAGCTGATGTTCCTTCGGTGTGATGTTCCTCCCTGCCACTGCCCTAACAAAGACAGGTCTGTCTCTGGGTGACCACTGCCTGCTCAAACTCGCCACGCAAACCTGACTCACTAGTGCCACCTCAGGCCGTTCTCACTCACAGCACCGACTGCTCGGCTCACAGTAGTTCTTTTCTGCCTCGACTCCAGGAATGTAATGGGTTCCAAGGGTTTGCAAATTGAAAATATGTGATTTCTGTTCTTCTCTACTTTTTGGGTAAACTCGAATCTGGATTCCACACTTCTCTACACCCACTACTATTACAAAGAGTAAGAAAAAACTAGGAGTACATTTTGTAATGCCACATAAAAAGTAAAGAAAACCCAACAGTTATAAAATAGGACAACACCAAAATGTTTTAAGCATTTGTTTTGGGGAGGGGGGCAGTACCTGGCCAGTACAGGGATCAGAACCCTTGACCTGGATGTTATCAGCACCATATTCAATACAAATATGTGTGTTTACATGCATCATTTTTTAAGTATGTACACATATACACAACACACTCAGGGAGAGAGAAGAAACTCCACATGGTGTTTCTGTCACATGACGTTGGGGATTCAATATTTGCATATTATAACAAACAACATGCATTAAGCCATATTAAGATGTGTGTCCTTGTCATGCATTTCTGCTTTCAATATGGATTTTCCATGCTGCAACAGTTCACTGCCAGCAGACCACAGATATATTCCACATGACCAGAAGAGAACAAGATTGTATGGGGGGGGAGGGGCAAAAATTATAACTATGTATATATATGCTCAAGTTTTGAAATCTAATATTTTTCCATTTTTAATCTGCACCTTAGATATTTTCATTGTATTAATACAAAGCCCCATAAAGATACATAAGATAGAAAACAGAGTTACATCCTGTTTTGAAACAGGTCCTTTCTTCCAGTGGAAGATGAGAAAACAATTTTAAGGCAGGAGTGATGGTGGTGATTATTAATTTGTTTCCTTTAAGTTAAGATAGTGACACCTTCCTTTTTCTCTATGCAAGACCTTAGAAATTTAACCAATCTAGACTTGAGATCTTGAAGAACTAATTTTTAGTAACAAAAGCACAAAAGGTAAAAAGATAGAAAAGGTGGGAGATGTCTCAGCTACTTAACACAATTGAACTCCTTGCCTCTCTCTTGAATTGATGCCTCTCACAAATCATAACACATGAAGGAGGGACGAAAGAAAGGGAAATACAGACACAGAAACCAAATACCCCATGAAGGCTTCCCCAAAGGAGTGTATAATTCTACAGGAATTATTTCATTTATTCTGGCCTGTCAAAAACAAACAAGTAAACAAAGTTAAAATAAATAAATAAATAACCCTTCATTTGCGAACACTTTCTTGGGAATTTTAAGAACAAGCCAACAAGTATCTGTAGGAATCATAAGAGTAGAGATTGTGAGATGGTTGCCAGCAGTGATGTTTCCAGAACGATGGTCAAAGAGGGTAAATATTTTGCTACCCCTCTTTCCACATAGACAGTCACAGAACTTCAAATCCCTTTCCAGTCACCAGAGTGCCAACCAGTATCACACAACATTTGTGTTGACTCTCAACTTTTAAATAGCACAGCTTATCCTTATTCATCGGTGTTCTTGTGTAAGCCCACTAGCTGCTAAACAGAAACAGAGCTGGCTACAGGAGGCATTAATTCTCTGAACACATAACTTGGGGCTTTCCTGAATTTTTAAGTGTTGCAGTCTTTAAGACTTCTCTCTTGCCAAATGGCAATACCATTAGTTTATATTTGCTGTTTTCCTAAACTTAGATATCACTTTTTTAAAATGTGTCTATGGATATGAATTCTGCTTATGAAATGACATTCACCTAAAAGTAAAAAAAAAAAAAAAAAAATCCAAATCAATCAGAGGAAATAATACATTGAAAAACACTTTTTTGCCTGTTTAGACAACAAACTGTTTCAGAAAACACCATCTCCTCATTACAATAAACACAGAAATCATGGCATAGCTTTTACTCTTTAATCCAAGTATTGCTCAGCTGATAACAGATGTATTATGAAACATGGCAAGAAGCACTGCAACAAGAAGAGGGTGAAAAAAAGTGGTACTTGATCATTTGATATCTTCAGACCCAAAGCTATCAAATAGGGTTCCCAATGCCAGATTGATCCCCAACCAATCCCCACACCCAAAGATTTCAAAGACAAATGGTTAAAACATACAATAAACTCTTTATCAACAGGCACTAGAATACAGGAAAGAAAAAAAAAACTGCACAATTATAATTTATAGGGAAAGAATAATAGACTGATTTTTCGGTATGTAAGTAAATTGCAAAAATCAAAATATTTGTCTGTTCCTTACCTTGACAATATTCAAAGTTCCCTTTTTTCCGGCAGTCACCTATTACTAAACTCAGTGCTCTCCAAGTGTTTCTTTTGACAGATATCATTCTCCACCAACCGCTCTGCTAATTTCCTCTCCTTTTCTGACTGGGACAGAGATTATGTTCACCAGCCCAGAGATCAATCTTTTCTATTGACAACAACAAAGGAAAAAAAAATGCATATATCACAACCAGTCTGAAGTATCACACCCATCTATTTACATGATAATATTAGGCCAGTTTTATTTTGTTTGTTTTAAAAACAGACATAAACTCTTCTAAATTTTAGAAAAATCCAAAACAATTCCCATTTTCTCAGTTCCTATAATAATGTGCTCTAACGGACTCTTATTTTCCAGTCATCTCACTCAAAAAGTTGTGTACATTCTGAATCTGAAAACTCTTCTCTTAAATTAATTTTAAAATATATGTACATCAATAACTTTCAGAGAATGCATTAGAGTTTACCTGTTTCAACAACAACAAAAAATAATCTCTAGGTATTATGATTTCCTTAGAAAACATTTTAAACATCTTATGTTTTTGTTTTATTTTATGGAATTTACATGCAAGTTAAATCCTGTTTCAAAACAAAGTGGTATCCATATTGTTTCATTGCTCTGAAATTCCAACATTGCCATTATTAACTAAAAATAGTTTAAAACAACTGATAGTAGTGAAGAATAATCTTTATGTAATCAACTAATTAAAAATATTAGTAAAAACAATTACTGGTGAGTTATTTTACCAAATCAACAAACTTCTACTACTTCCTTTTCTTCCTCTAAAGCAATAAAAATTTTCTCATTTTTTCCTGCTAGATTTGGCAGGTTTAGAATTGCTTTATTCATCCATTCACAAATATTTTTTGAGTGCCTATCACTCACTACTACCGCCACTACCACTACTATGAATAGAAAATGTATCATTATTTAATTCTTACAATCTATGAAATATAAGGGTCTAGCACAATCATATACACATAAGTAGGAACTCAATAAATGCAAAGGGATAAAGATTTATAAAAGCAGTCTCAAAAAGTATTACTAAGACTGTTGCTATTATTTTTTTGAGACCAAATTACTTCCTATAAATTAAAATTGGTGAACACACTCATATGTATATAGAACAAGCGGTTTTTATTAAAAAGCTATGAATGCCTTTTATATGCCACATTATAACTTCTGCTGTGATGCAATCGGTTGTTTCTTGTTCTTTATGGTAGGGAAAAAATTAAATAGGCATTAATTAGAAAAAATATGATATTAGGTATTTCTTAGCTGGGTATTGTCTTGAAGCTCAGCAAAGATCATTAGCGATAATCAGCCACAACTTAGAAACATTTGTTTTATTATGAAACCTAATAATTTTATTAACAACTGAGAAAGCAAAAATTTCAAGAAAATAACCAAGATACATAGATACATATACACATATAGATTATATAAATACTCAAATACTAGGGGAAGGAAAAGGATGCATGGAGGAGGAGACTGGAAGTAAATACACCAAGAAAATAACCAAGATACATAGATACATATACACATATAGATTATACAAATACTCAAATACTAGGGGAAGGAAAAGGATGCATGGAGGAGGAGACTGGAAGTAAATACATCTAGATGTTAAATATGATTATTTCTGGAAGATGGAAATATGGGTATTTTTCTCTTTACAAATCTATTATTTCCAATGTTTCTAAATGAAAGTAAAAGCATTTTATAAATAGAGGCTAAACAAATATTATTGGGAAAAAGAAAATGGATACTTTCCTTAGGTTCCATCATGACTTATGAATATTTTGTGCTTCAGCAACCATCAACAAAAGGCATGAGAGAGCATGGTAAAAATGAACCATGCCCCCGGTATGGGCCATGGTTAATAATCTCCAATGAACAAAGGAAGCAGGCAAAGCATATACAAATCCCCTAGAGTTCAAGTTTATTTCTTCCTTCTCATGACTGCTAAACACCAGACTCATGTCTGGGTTTATTAACAAAAATGGTGTAGTGAATCTCAGTTTTGAGGAACATAAAATTACCATGTGTATAAACTTCCTTGAAAAGGCAAAATTCTCAATTAGAAATGATCTCTCAATATAGATATACAGTTTCATTTTTTAACTTCGCTGTAGTGTCTATTTTAATCAGAATATTCTGAAGGAATGGAGAAAAATTGGCAGGAAGATAGTGTTACAAAATATTTTAAATGTACATATTTATAAATTCTTAAATGTTAACATAGCATACAAATACACATTCAAACAATATACAATGTAAATCTAAAGTTACTCATAAGGATTTTCCCCACTTAACTATTTAATACTCTTATAGGAAACATCATATCACAATCAATAGGATAACTCAAAAAAATGAGCTAATCTTTGGGTTTTTCAAAATAATGACATTGGAGTTATCATGTTTGTGCTTCTCACATCCCATACATTAAATGCTGTCCCAATCTAAGACAATAATGAGTAATGGTAATGAGCACTGTGAACTATACATTCATATATTTGTGATACCCACTCCACGCTAAAGTCTATATCATGTGCAAATGATAGTAAGATTTCTCTATCTTTAATAATTGCTTTGTTTGAATCCTCAGCCCTCAAATTTGTAAAATCTCATTATGAGAGGAACACAGACTGAGAAAAGTTTAAAAGCTAAGTTCCACCAAGAGCAGAACGCCTCAAACAATTTGTAGTTCTACAAGAGTGTCATTAAAAAGGCTCAACATGTTGTATTACCATGGAAATTGTGGAAAACATACATTCCCAAACAAATATTACTTTTTCTCAATGGTATGAAGTAATGAAAACCACATGTGTAAATCTGCGATCCGTGCAGTAGTTCAAGCTGCAGCTAATAGAAAATACAGAAAGTGAACTCTGTTATATAAAGGATTCTTGTTACAGAAATATAATGTGAAAACCAGATGCAGACAGAAAACCTTAATCACAGATGGGAATGTAATCACTGGCATACAGAATACTTTTTTGATCAATCTTAACCATATGCGCAATGTATTTATTTTCTAAGGAATGCAATAACTTGAGAGAACCTTCTATTTGGATTCAGTTAACCTCATATTTATAAGGCTTTTATCTTACTCCCCCATCCCTTCAATGTGTACACTGAGCCAAGGTTTTAAAAGGAAGAGTTGCTGGCCTTGGCAAATCATTCTTGTATCAGTTTATCTTTCAAAAATTTAATAGGATGTAAAGACTACACACATCAGAACCAACCTCAAAAGAGATCGAGTGCAGTTCCCCATTACTGTATTTCTCAATCATTGCCAGGGATACTTTCACTGCCTAAACACATTTCTCTAGAGAACTCCAGAAAATTCTGTCAACATTCAGGGCAGTTTTTCTTTTAGTAAATTATATACAGTTATTAAAAAAATGAGCATTTAAGCACACTTCTTTCTATCTATCAAACTGGATTGAATCAAACCTTAACTCTAATTTTCCATTTTGTGGTATAAAGGTTGTTCTTTTACATTAACAAAAACACAATTAGTTTTTGGTTACAATGAGAATTACCCCAAAAGGAACCTGTTATATCACATCTGACTT